GACAGACAGACAGACAGACAGACAGACAGACAGAGAGAGAGAGAGACAGACAGACAGACAGACAGACAGACACATAGACACACAGACAGACAGAGTGAGAATAACAGCCAGAAATGAATAGAGTATCAAAAGTACCACTAGTTATCCAATGTTTTGGCACACTAAAAAACACACAAAATGTCTTCACTCAAGCACATTCTGTTCTTAACAGGTCACTCTGAAATGAGGTCAGTCACATTGATATAGTCATGGACAGGACTAAGGTGCACTTCAAAGAGAAGAAACAAAAATATATGTGGCGCAGCGTGGTGAAATCAGGCGCTCGTCAAAACGATGAAAGTCAAGAAACGGGTATTTTTCCGCGGGTTTGGGAATTTTTATCGAATTTTTGTTTTTTGGCTCAACACCTTTCATGTCTATTAAAGAACACATTTCTGTGTAGGTTTTACTGAAAAACGTTGATTAAAGGCATAAAAAATGTAAATTTTCAGTTTCCACAGAATTTCAAGCTAAAGAAATAATGCAACTTTGGCGGCCATTTTCTAGCTAATTTTACCTCTGAAACCAGGCGTCCCTCACCTCCTTCAATCGTCAATATCTTGAATTGTATCCAAGATAAATGGAAATTTTTTTACTTCAAAAGCAAGGCGAATGGACAGGCTTTAAGATGGTACCAATAACACCATATGCCCCAAAATTGACGAGCGCCTGACACCACCACACCGCGACACAAATACAGGTGCCTGAAAAAGGTTATCTCAAGTCTGAGACAGAAGGGGTCAACATGTCACTTCAAATGAGTTCACTTCAACAACAGTGACAATATCAAGAACAACAAATTTGGAAATAGAGGAACCCAGACAATTAGACCTCCAATGAGGAAATTATTGACATACGATAGTTTACCATATAATTGAAATTGCAGATCTTTTAAGCCCCCAGCGACACAATTTAGATCATTTAAGAGGGGGGGTGCTTCAACCCTGTCTGTCAGGGCAAACCCAAGCTAAGAGGAATACAAATTTCCAGCACATTGATATACACAGACTCAATTAGAAAAAACTGTAAATACAATAATAATTCTCACATCTTCTACAAGCAATGGCAAAGTGTCTAACCATTACACCGCATATGTTGGTCCATATTATGATGTAATATCACACCATCATAGAAGCTCCATAAACCACAAACCGTGATGAAGTGTATTACAAAACAAAAACTGCAAGACAAGAAGGACACACACTCTAACCTTTATATCTATTTTTCTCCTTGTTCCAATAGTGGGCCAGATTTAGTAAACTCAATAGAAAATGTGTCAATCTGGAAGTAAGCCATGCACTTTTTTAAAAAAACACAAAAAAACCCTCCTGAAACAGGAAAACTGTTAGGAAGATATGATGATGACCAAATTGTTGAAAATGATATGAGGTATCTTAATGTTAGTCTACTTCTTCATTCAGTGCCTAAAATAGATCCCTTCTGGCAAACACACAAACTTAAACCTAACTTTATCTTTGAATTGTTGCCATTTCAATTTCAGCACAACTTACCTTGAACACTTTCCCATCAACAGACACCTCTTCCTCCACTGGCACCTGATCACTGTGCAGAGCTAATGAGGAAAGACAAGACACAGGGAAAGAACTGAACATTTGGCTTTGAACACCATCACAGAGATACTTCAAGACCTTCAGTTTATCATTGTTCAAACTACAGCTCTGACATTTTAAAAAATTCATGGTCCTTATCCTGCTAATTGTGTCTGTACAAAACAAAATGAAGAAAGTAGCAATAGTGTGTGTGTGTGTGTGTGTGTGTGTGTGTGTGTGTGTGTGTGTGTGTGTGGGTGTGTGTGTGGGTGTGTGTGTGTGGGCGGATGCGTGTGTGTGGGCGGATGTGCGTGTGTGAGTGTGTGTGTGTGTGTATGCATGCGTGCGTGTGTGCAAGTGTGTGTATCCAAAACAAACAAAAAATGGAATTTAAAGCATTTAGTTCAAGCTTAGCTGCACTCTCAATAACAACATAAAAATTTTCAGATAGCTTTCTTCAATTTTAATTAAAAGTGTTTAGATCAGGGGCTAAATTGCACTTTCTCCCCATTTTTAATAGATTTCCTCGAAAGAAAACGGGCAGAATACACTAAAACAAAGGCAGAGGAGGGCCAACAGTAGACAGGGAACTAGTAGGGAAAAACATATTGAGGTTGGAAAAGACATACTGAGAGAATGAAGAGTAAAAAGAGGAGAAAAAAATGAGACTTTCTACTGCCCCTGAAATTCCAGATCTTAGCTGGCTATCTCCACAAATAAACTCTGCTAGCAGACACTTTCTCACAATTCACCTTGATCAGCTGCAGACTTCATCTTGTTGACCGTCTTGCCAAAAAATTTCTTGATCTTTACCCTGTGGGAAGAAAGCAAATCATTAGAACAGAACTAGAATCTAGTAGCAGAGACTGCTTAAAAAATGTTTAGTCGCATTGTCACACATGTAAGAAGAGCAACTATAACAGGACTCTCATTGAATGTTCAGAAGAAAGAAGTAGCTATCTGCTCTCTATTTATTAAAGACTACGTCTACATACAGATCTGTTGGCAGAAAATAAAGGAACATTTAGCCTTGGAAATTGCCAAACTGCCCCCTTCACATTTGTCGACAAGGGCGTCATAGTGCTTTTCTTTCCATTCATTAGCAGCACTAATGTTGTCTTCATGAGGCACAGTGAGTTCGACAAAGTGGTACACCACTTTCTTCTCTTTGCATCATATTGTCAGGTTTGGCTTTTTTGTTGTCAGGTTGGGGAAGAATCTCTGACAGCTAGATCTGTTACTGTCTTCCTTCCTTCTTTCCTCTGGCTAGCCTCCAAAAGGAGGGCGGCAGTCTGCAGTAGGAAGAAAGGTAAAAGGCAACCTCGTGTGGCCTCGTCCAGAGTACATCTGGGCCCGGTCTCGCATTGTTCTCCATAAGGGGGCCTCGATGTGCTTCCCCCCGCGGGCATCATACAGTGCGTGCTGCAGGTTGTCACGACTTGTGCCACACACCCGACAGGAATCATTGGGAGCGGAGCCTATTGCATGGAGATACGCCGGTAGGATGGGGCTCTTTGCGTAGCATCTTAGCTGTGATACACTCTTCTCTGTCTGACGGTTAGGTCTCTTTGTCCCTCTCCGGTGGTGGCTTCACCTTTCCCCTGATGGAGTCGTGCACTCGTGCTTTCTCCCATGCGTGGGCAATGATGTAACGCGAGATGCACGAGCTTGCTGATGCTAGATCGACTGGGGTGTGGGACTGGTCGAGGCGGCCTCCCTTGTTGGCCAGGGCGTCAGCTCAGTCGTTCCCGTGGATGTCGCAATGTCCTGGTATCTATTGTACGTGAAGGTGTTCGTGGATTTCACAGCAGTGGCAGATAATGGTCCACATTTTGTCCTCTATCTCAGTACAAACTGCAGTCTCTCGGGACATTAAGTGTTGAACAACTGACTGGGAGTCTGTGAAGATGTGGACTCTTTGAAAACTTGGTTGTTTTTTTAGCCATTGCAGTGTGCGGAGCAGGGCGGTAGTTTCAGCTCGGTGGCTGTTTCCGTGTAGTCCCGCGGGCACGGATACACATGTTTCCTACCTAGAAGATTTGTCTAGACAGCAGAATCCTCCTCCACATAAACTGTAGCTGTCGGTGGCATGGCCGTCAGTGAAGATATCAAGGTTGGACGTCTGTCGCTGTCTCCCACTGACTACCGTTCTGGCATTCATTTATTTTAGTTTACAGGGTTTTACCGAGCTCGCAACTGCATAAGGTCATATGAGCGCGCGAAACACAAGTTAGTTTTGTTCGCAACAGTACTGTACGGCTGGTTCGGGTCAGTAGTTAGATCTTAAAATTTTAAAATGTTTAAAAATCAGTGTAAATATATATATTTTCAATCTGAAACAATTTTTCTAGATAACATACAAAATTTTAAATAGTTCAATTACACTTTATAATTTTCTATAAAGGCCAATG